CTATCTCTCTCTGCCCTGTTGGCACAGGGGCCACTTGTCTCCTCCGGGAAAAGTCACCGTAGATTTCTCCCTCTGCTCATTCCCTCCACCTTCCTCCACCCAGGAGACTACACACTCTGTCCTGCAGATTGGATCTGATACCAGCTCGAGAGGAAACCACATCCAGCAGCAGAGAGGCTCCTGGCTCCTGCTGCTCAGTCTGAGTCTGCAGAGGAACTGAGGCTCTGCTCCTCCTGCTCCGTGCACACAGTGTGAAGTCACCCTGAGTGACACACAGGGGTGTCCGGGGAGCACTTTCAAAATAAAACCTGCACACGTCTGGTGCATCAAAACCCAAATACATAAATAACTAAATGAATCAATAAATGATCTCTCTTGAATCGGTTTCATTCAGCCATGTGATTATTTTATTCTGGTTTTACATGTGCATACTACGGAGAACCTAAAGTGCAACGTCAAATCACAAACCATGAGAGACAACAACATTCATCTCTGTCACAAAAGTATAAGAAAAAGAAAAGTAAGGCACCTGCTGTCTGTTTTCTTATTTGTCCTGATTATAATTATTTCAGTAGAAACCAATTGGATTCCAAAGCGTCTAAGAAATACATACTTAACCTTCACTATAGATATAAATGAATATGTTACAATTACAGCCTAGTTTCTCACTACAATCTGACTTTACAACCCTGGCCTGACGGTCACAGCAGCCCCTCAGTTGTCCCTTCAGCTGAGTACAATTGGTGATGATAATATTGTCTCAGGTCTTAGAGGCATAGACTTTATATACAAGTGTATATAAGAGGCCACTTAAATAATAGCCTGTTTCATACATGCTGTGATTATCACGGTTCAGCTTCTTTTATTTTGAAGGCAGCTGCTTCTGTCTTCCTGTTTGATTTTGGGTTAATATCTCAAACTTACTGCAGCTCAGTGACCCTCCTCCTGACGTCACTGCTGGAAGACGTCCCCACTCCCATCACATCACTGCCTGTTGAACCACATGCTGCCAGCATCTCCATTCAATGTGACATCATCATCATCATCATCATCATCATCATCATCATCATGTCCAGCACTTTGATCGAAACACAACCAAGCAACAGAATTTGTAAATCTATTTCTGTTGACGTAAACCTTACAATTAAAACAAACAAGTTAAATGGAAAAATATTTAAGGTCCGACTGTGTTTATTCCTACTGATCATCATCATTAAATAAAAACATCAGAAAACCCTGACAGTCAGTGTAAACCCTCCAACACTGACTTTATTCTATTAATTTAACAAGTCAGTCACTTTCACTGCTAATCATAGAAGTAGAGACTTCAATCTGAGTTATGAAGTGACGTTGCTCATCATGGATGAAGATGATTCATTTAAAAATCATAATATCAAAATGTTTCTTCTTTTCCTAACGAGGTTCATTGAACAGTTTTGGTTTTTGATATAATCCACTTAGGTTAAAGGGATGGTTCACCCAAAAATGAAAATTCACTCATTATGTGCTGACCACTGTGCTGATGAAGGGGGAAGTGTTTGAGTCCACAAAATACTTTTAGAGTTTCAGGGATAAACAGTGTTGCAGCCAAATCCAGTAACTAGTGACTGATTCATCCAACATGCCTCCATACTGCTCCTGTAGGGTCATTAAAGTGTCTGGAAGCCCCGACATTCAAATTCCACTCAAAATGGGGTCATTTACACCAAGTTTCCACTGTGATCCTTCTCCTGGTCACTGCTGCAGATCTCTCAAGAACTTGTGAGTATCACGAGAACTCGTGATAGTTGCAGTTACTGAGGATAACAGCAGAACAAAGAAAGTAAGAAGGAAAGTGAATATTTTGTATATATTTGTTCATATTCCTTGGCTGCCAAATGAATAAGAATCACAACAAAGTTTTCCGGATCAGTTTTAATAAAAATAATCAACCCAGCTAGTTATTTATTTGCTTTGAGCTTCGTGGAAAGTTATTTCTGCCTCAGCTCTGCGGACACTGTGGAAAAATGTTTGAGAAAACAAACTATCTGCTCCGGAAGAACCTTGGATCCTGTTTAGTCTCCAGAGAGTGTTTACAGGGGTGTGTCTCTTTGTGATCCTGTGCTCCACAACTGAGTTCTCTGGACGGACAACACAGAACTTGTATTTCACTCTATTTTCTATACAGCTAATGTCTCTGGAACAAGGTATGTGGTCTTTTATGATTCATAAAGGCTCATGGCCAAAAGCGAACTATAAATGTGTGTTGTTGTGGCTCTCAGGGGCCACGAGAGAGCCTCATGAAGGGCCTCGTAAAGGACTCATGCTGGCACTGAGGACTTATTATATTCCAGAAAAATCCACAGTCACGTCAAGCTGCAATTTTATGAATCATACTGAAGAATGAACGGAATGGAGACGTTCCTGCGAATCCATGAATCACATCAGAGTGAGCGAATATGACCAAAGAAAGGCAGGGAGAGTTTTTGCCTGGAAGCAGGAAGTGGAGGTGACGAGGTTCAGTAGGAGCGCAGAGAGTCCAACAGGCAGACAAACACTGACAGAAGAGACGAGGAGCTCCGACTGTCTGTGCTGCAGATGTCACAGAAACAAACCTCCTCTTGTTAAATGTCTCAGATCTTCTCCAAAGAATTCTCAGGCTGGTTACAGTTAAAAAACAGCCTTCATCGATTCTGCCTCTGGGTTGCAGCAGGAGCAACATGTCATGGGGACAAAAATCAAGCATAGAAACACGACAACATGGTTCAGGTTCTAGATTTCTGTCTTCACAGGTCAAACAAAGTAAAATATTGGATACAAAATAAATGTTATTCACTACAATATTCTGTAAGTATGATAAAACACCTGATTATCCACAGTAGAACATTCTTTAGTATTAAAGCTCAGTGATGAGATTTTCATGTAATGTATTAAAACACTTACATACTTGTCAGTACTTTCCTGAGTTCTGGAGCCTCCTTGTGGCCTGTTTTGGTCACTGCATGGAACCAGGGATAAATGCCTAAAAAAACCTTTCATTTACACTTTCCTGTTATTACTGTTCATAGTTTCCACCATCAATGCCAGCGAGGTAGAACAACAGCAGGGAAATAACAACAGGGCTTTTATCACAGCACATATTCAGATTTATTATACTAGGAATAAAATAAAGTAACACCACATATGTCTTTTTCCTATGAAGCTGCTGCAGTGAACAATAACAGCACAATGGAAATCTAATGGGATTCATTCAGTCATAATTAAGGATTATTTATAATGTGTTTCCTGTTGTTCCAGGTCAGATGATAAATAAAACAATTAAGTGACTTATGTGAATAACTACACTTTTTATAATTTGTGGTATTTCTATGGATTATATAGAATTATGCATGAAAAATAAATGACTCGTCCACACCTGCACTGATCTGCTTCACCGTGTCTTGAACTGTATGTTCTCCATGAGGTGATAAAGAAAAACATTTCATGTCGTGTCTATGACACAGTTTTACTTCGCAGTTCTGCTCCACTGAGACACCTGGTGGCCAAAGTAGAAAACTACAGTTGCAGTTTACACCTGTATTCGCTGCTGTTTGAGTCACACATCTTTTTATCTGCTGCAAGTGGTTGAATTCGATTGAACATCTATAACTGGGCTTAAGTTGGAAATAATGACATTATCATTGTTAATATGAGCCATTAATAAGGAAACAAACTCAATCTGGACCAGAATCAGTCTGTTAATAACTGAATATTAATCACAAGTTCAAGACATTATGAAGTGATGATGTCCCTTTATTAATTGTTTATTAAAATGTATTATTACTGCAGATATGGTGCTTATGTAGACATTTGTACTGTTAATACTTTTAGGTGAGTTCAACTTGGAGAAGTGAGTTGCTCTGCTGCCTTCAGTGAATTATTTGAACTAATAGTCAGTAAAGTTAAAGAGTTGAGTTAAGTTCCCGGAACTACACATAACAAGCTCTCAAAAATGAAAGTGACAAGTTGTTCTTTGTTGTTATTGTGCCCAATTTCACACAAACACTTCTCCTCAACTTGTGTTTAATAGTCTGATTCCACTGGTCCTCGTGTTTCCTGCTTTCATAACCTCTTCTTTGTGCAGAGTCAAACTGAGAAGAAATTCAGGCTTGTATCAAGCAGGTGAGGGGAGGGGTTGTGGTCAGTCACAGCCGAGCATCAACACAAGCTTGTTGCTTCTGTTGCATTAGGGGAAAACGTACAACCATTAACAGACCATAATAAATTTCTCATAAAAAGCCTCTATAAGTTTATAAAGTGTTAGAGCTGAAGAAAAATGATTTACACAAGTATCATAAACTGAGCAGGTTATTAAAACGGTGCCTCTTTGAATGTATGACTGTAATTGTTTGTGGCTGTGGATGGTTTTTTGCTCCACAATGAAATGATTGATGAAGCTTTGTCTGTTGTTTGCTCGACTGATGAACTCATTGAAGCGAGATTATTGATTTAAGTCGTTTTGAGTGAGATAAAAAGGATGCAGCGGCGGTTGCTGGGTTACAGCGGCTAATTGTCTGTGAAGGATACGCAGCCAAATGACTTGGTAGGTCTAATTTGCTTGTTTATGATAATGGAGACCAAGCACTGTCGCTATTTATCTCAGACGATTAAAGACAAATATCATCACAAACAACTGCTAATATTCTGAGCTGCAATTATTTCAAACTATAAATAAAACCATCTTTCTTCTCAGAGTGTTATTCAGGCGTTCTGTCGGTTTAGATGTGGCCTCATTTGAGCACAAAAACCAGAATCAATGAAATGGAAGCTCTGGCTAATGATAGGCCGCCCTGAAAACCAGCTGAGTGACGGGTTGAAGCTCCCATCAGCTTCTCATTAGTGGTCAGCACCCGCCCCTTCGCTCCCCACCATTATTTTCACCATCTGCTTTAAGATGTGGGCATAAATAACAACAATTTATTTCTCTGTAATTGATAAATAATCAAATAAACCATTAAACCTCCTTCTCATCAAGACGCCGTTTATTTGTATCTTTGGAAGAGCGATGGCCGTGAGACAGAGAGCAAACAAAATGTTCACTGTCCTGCTGCAAAAGTGCTTTAACACGACTGTGATGAAGAAAACAGATTTCGCTTCAGCCGGTTTGATCCTTTACAGCACGACCGTGACGTCCGCCAGCGTGGAAACAAAGAGGCTTCAGATTCTAACACAACAAGTATCCTCTTCTCTTTTTAAGGCCTTGCTGTTTTATTCATTTTTTTCTCCTACAACAGCAAATTACAGAAGCAGTATTGAAAATAAAAGTCTTATTTTCTTATTCTGGTAAAAAAAAAAAGAAGTTCCGCACAAAATTTGAAAGACAGTACAAAATGAAGCGTTAATATGTAAATGAAGGGTCAGGGACATTACTGTTGGAAAAATCTATTATGCCTTTTTCAATAATGAAAACATCTCGATATCTTTACATTTCAGAATTATATCACATAATCTGAAACTATATATATATAAAAAAGATGAAAGAATTGAACACATTTTTTGTTTTTTTTGACTTTCTTCTGTTTGTTTTTTTTCTGGAAAATGAATGCTATAAACACATAAACCTCTTAAATATATTTATCAGTGCAACATCGTTTCTTTTGAGTCCACACTACAGTATCCGTTTTCTCTAGCACACATGGCTACAGTCCTTCTAGAGCTGAAAGCGCAGACGGACGGTGGAGAGGCTGAAACTGAAATGGGACCAGCTGGGGATGCGTTCACCACGGCGACACGTACAACGCACACAGGATGGAGAAGACGTCACCGCTCGCAGGGTCAAGTTCTTGATTGTTTGATTGAGTTTGCACGTCCCTGTTGCCCCGTGTGTCCCCTCAGAGGTCAAAAAGTCCACACTGAGGTGACGTCTGCACCACTTAAGCTTCAAGACATAAAACAAAAAAAGAAACATATCTCTTGGCTACAATTCCCGACATCTCCCCTGTTGATTATCTCTCCAGGGGCTTTGAAGGGTCAAATCAGTTCTCTTGTGAGTGATGCCCACTGGTGAACTGAGCAGTTGTGAGTTGGTGAGACCCGCCCCCCCCTCCTCCTCCTCTCCGGGGCGAACAGAACGACCATCCTTTGGTAAAGCCACAGGGAGGAGGAGTAGGGAGGAGGAGGGCAGGTGACGGAGGAGGTCAGGTGACCTGATTCAGGTGATGCCACTCGTCCCTCCACTGCACCAGCGACCCGTCCCAGTGACATCAGCTCTGACATCACAATGTTATGGCTGCTACACGTGAACACACGTACAAGTCTTGTTGCGGCCATGAAGCTACAGAACAGCATGTGAAGGATACAAACAGGGGTTTAATCACGAGACACACGTGTCTGGCTAAAGTAATGATAGCACCATTCTTCAGTTAGTGTAGTGACCCCCCAGGGTTGATAGGCTCCTATCACGGGGGGGCGGGGGGGTCAGAAACAAAGTGCATTCAAGCTGCATCGACCAGACAGAACTCAATCCACAGTGATGAGTGTTGAACTGAGATGAAACCAAGGGATGAGGATTTTTTTTTTTTTGGTTTGCTGGAAGATGAATATTCACCAGCTCCTGTGCCATTGACATGAATGTGTTTGAGGCTTAATCTGAAAGATTCTTGTCGAAGCAAAGATTTAAGCGAGCAACGATCGAATGAAGAAATGAAGGATTATCTTAAAGAGAGAAGGTGCCAAGAGTTCAGTGTGTCAGCTTTTTCTTTTGTGGCCTTCTCCTGTGTTTCTGTTTTCATTTGTTGTGCAGTGGTTTGGATGACAGATGCTTGAATGCACATTGAAACTGCTGCAACATCAGCGTCACATGAATCTCGCTCGTCCGAGCAACTAAATCGGAAAAAAATAAAAACCTAACACTGCAGCTTCCACAAAACAGTGAGAGGATTGTATTTACACACGCACACACAAACCCATGAAAAAAGGGATACTGCAGCTTTTTTCCTTTTTACTTTCTTTAAAAAGGGCAATAAAATATATTAAAACTTATTTACAGTGTGTGGTTTTTTTGGACAGAAAAAGACAACAACAACAAGAATAAAAATAAAAATAAAGCGCTGTGGTAGATTGTTATCCTGGTTTGTAGATATTCATAAGATAATGTGCCCCTGTTTCCTGTAATCTTAACTTAAGCCATATACAGTAAAAAATCAACAGAGGAGACCAACCAAAATGTACTAAAGGCACTGTTAGAACCATACATTGCCATGAATGGAACCCTCACTTTAAAGTGATATGGGTCAAAGAGGAAAGAGGACACGTCTCAGGGTCCTACGGACTCACCCTGTTTACCACACCATGGGGCAAATCCACAGCTTCGCCAGATATGGGTCATTTTAAGTTTTTTGATACGTCTCTTTCAAAAGTTGAAAATATACAACAGCCTTCATGAAACTGATGATGAAACAAACCTTTCTCTCCCAAAAAACGATAAATACTTTAAACATTATTAATAAATTGGTCTCAACACCAGCATCCGATTGTAAAAATGAATGAAAATCAAAATAGAAAATTAAAATATCATCTAAATCATCTGTACATATTCTTTTCTGTATTTTATTTGTACACAGTGTCCCCTACAGGTAGGTTCTTTTTATTTTTTTAACTGCAGCTCCTGAGAAAAGCGTGGATCAGTCCAAACCTCCCCACTGGATCCTGAACCTGTCCCTCATCCAGCGAGGTGAGGGCGTTGGCAGTCCGTTGAGCAGACCAGCTCGCGGATGCACGAGAGGATATGCCTACAGCCAGTCTAGTGCACGCTCTGCGAGCCGTGCACGTCACACAGTTTCATCGATGTGCTCAGTCCCATCTCAAGCCTCTGAGTATGAGCTCTGTACATTGAGTTTGTCTTTCTTTAGCTTGACGCCGTCCACTAGCTCAAAGTTATAGTTCTCCAGGGCGGATAAGTTCCTGTCCGTCATGCTGCCCTGCGAGCAGGCGCAGTAGAGCACCACGCCGCAGATGGCGCCCAGGAAGACGCCCAGTGCCGACATGGCGATGATGGTGATGAGGATGGGGTCGAGCGTTTTTAGCATATTGCCTGCTCCGCTGATCTGGTTTGTCTCCACGAACACCGGGTATTCAGTGATCTCTTCCACTGTAGAGGAGACGAAGGCAGAGGAGGAGAATGAGATGTGAGAACATAAACTCTTGAAAAATTAGAAAAAATCTATCTTGTGTGTGGGGTGACTTACGGATTTCATTGAACTTATCCTCTGGTAACATGGGCTCAGTGGGTACGTCAGGGTCTGTTTAAAAAGGAATTATAAATAATTACTGTTCCTGAAGATAACAAGCTGCAGTTTAAACTGTATAGTCCTATTTCTTATGAAGAACTGAATGGATATGAAGAATTAAAGCTTCACCTTTACAGTCTGCCATACTGAGCCCATTGAGAACCTTAATGTCATCCACAGCGATGTCTCCCCAGCTCTTTCTCTCCACCAGCCCTTCGATCACCACCTTAAAAAGAAAGAAGCTCTGAGTGACTTTTCTTGAACGCCACAACACAGGTATAATGGTAAAAGTCCCAGAAAGAAGAATAGGCCAAAGTCATCAAAACTTTTATTTACCTGATAGGGTTTGTTGTTGCGCGGCACAAAGACGCGACCTTCTCTCCAGCGGTTGCCCTGGTGACCGCTGACCGTCCACAGCAGGATGTCTGCCGGCCCTTCAACCATCTGCTTGCGCTGTTTGATGTGCAGTGTGCCGATGTGCGACCCAAACATGTGGTACCAAAAGGACACGCAGAGGTCAGAGTCTGGGGAGCTGACCACAGGGCTGACGAGCCGAGCCACCTCTGTCTCCTGAGGACCCGCCGCCAACGTGTAGATGAAGTTCCCTGATCCACCTGATCCACAAAAAGAAACTTGTGTCACTGATATGAAAAAGCGATGAGAATGCAAGGAAATGTGACTTCAGCAGAAACTGTGTGAGAAAGTTGAGGAATCACGTGCAGGGCCCTCACCTGTGTGATCCATGTTGGGTCCAGTGTTCAGGGTGGGGGTGCCGCTGGACTGGATCTGCCACCTGGAGCCGGTGTCCTCGGATGTCCAGCTGCAGAACGACGGGTCATTGGCCCAACCGAAGTCACAGGCAAACCACAGGAAAGCTGCAAAGACATAAAGAAAGAGGAGATAAGATTTCATCCTCGAAATGACAATATTTCATGGTTTGACAGCGGGTTCCACTTGGGCTAACAGTGACTGAGTAGAAGCAGTAGAGGGCAGCAAAAATCCATGGGACATGAGTTCAGAGTTCCACAGCTGGGGGACATTAAAACAACTACAGTCACTCAGGAGGGGACTGGAATAGAAGTTATGATATGACACGAGAAAGAACAGTCAGCATAGACCTCATGTTGACATTAAACCCTCGTCTGTAGTGAATGATCTCCCTTAATGAATGTAACAGGCAAAGAAAGGTATGGAGGGACATTAAGAACAGTAGACAAAGATGGGGTCTGGACATGGCATCCAGGCGAGAAAGCAAAACCCGTAGCAACCTGCGGAGAGCTCAGGATTTTAATGAGCGCAGGGACTTGAGGTTTGAAGACAGCTATGGTAACAGTGCCAGGGCCCCATTCCAACAATGTAACTGCCTGTGGACACACGTCGCGCTGAAGAAGTCTCCATGGAGGCAAGAAAATGTGTGGGAGCTCAGGCTTACGTGCTTTTCAAATTGGATAAAGAAAGACTTCCAAAGAACAGAAGGGAGGGAGATGTTTGGGATGTTAGCCACGGCCTTTAGCTACAGCAGGAGATGCCTTTAGAGATAAAATGGTTTGACTCTCCCAATGACACACTATACAAACCAGAATTCTCTGTTTTAACTAGCTTCTGCAGGAAATGACTCTATTTATCCATTAAACACAAAGGATGGAATTCCCATGTGGAGCTGTAATTCAGATGCCAAACCAATTTTTTCATCAAGAAACCCCGTCCCAATTAAAATAGCTATGGCCTTTTTTTTTTCATTTCGTTCCATTCTTGGGAGGCTTTGACTGAGGTGACCAACCAGCTCTGGATAATATGAGCAGCCACATGACTCATGTGGACGTTTGACGAGGAGAAAAAGAGACTTTTTCTTGCCGAATGCCAACGGTAACTACATCCTTTGAGATTAGAGGGCTTGGCACGCACACTGTCACTCAGACAATAACACACAAACAAACACACACACACGTACATATGAACAGGGCTGATTAGCGTGTATGGTTTGAGACTCTTGAAGTAAAAATTCAGACGGATAAGTGTTTATCCACAGACACCTCGTTATGTTCATATACTCACAATATATGCATACAACACACACACACACACACACACACACACCTGCACTTCAGCTCTCATCTATTATAGTGGCAGACAGACCACAGAGCAGGCTGATGGAGTGACAGGGGACTGGGTGGAGCCTATGGCCCATTAGCCAAGGTCAGACTGGGGCTCAGCCTCTCAGCTGGCTGCTGCCTCAACACCATGCTATAGGAGACACAGTGATGTGTGTGTGTGTGCTTGTGTCTATGCATGGGGGCCCAGAGCACACTTCATTTCCTGTGGTCATTTGCATTGTGCTTTCCTGTTTTGTATAGTAGTGTGTGTGTGTGTGTGTGTGTGTGTGTGTCAGTGCCGGCCCAGTGATTAGTGATTATGCTGAGGAGGCAGCAGCAGAGCACCAGTGCTAATCATCAGCTCGCCCCGCATCACACAACCTCCCTCACCATGTCAGCGGGAGCTTCTCAGGGCCGCATCATCAGCTTTAATAACAGACACACATCAGAGGAGAGAGGCCGCCTTCAGCTGGCAACCATTAACTAAGGTGTGCTTCTTGATAAATATAT